ATTCACTTTCGCATTTTGACTTTGAAATTTAAATTTCCACTTAAAAGTGGGAATGTTAGATAAACCAGAGCTGTATGTCCAACGGTATTGCAATTTTTTGAATGACCAATAAGAAATATACTTACACAGTAAACTGCATCTTCATTCCTAAAGAAAGCGAGAAAAGTTATTGATGAAATTTTCAATTTTTCAGAACTCATTAAGGTAGCCGAAATATTGCTATTTTTGTTTAATCGTACTAGAGTACAAACACTAAAACTGTGCAACATAAATACCACTAAATACTGCTAAATTATGCTAATTCGATTGTTTTCTATTGTTTAATTAACACTATTTTGTAGTAAATAGTGGAAAGTGTTGCACACATTTAATGTTTGTACTCTATTACACGGATTTTAGTACTTACTGGTTGTTTCTTCGGTCATGCTTTTTTCTTTTTTTCCATGAGATGAAAACCACAATTAAGAGCATGAGTAGTATCACAAGTGCTAGGGATGCTGTCAATAGACTAACTTTTATAGTGCCTAGGGTTCACAAAGAGAAACAATGTACTTTATTTGGTGATATCACTTTTTAACAAGCACTTAATGTAACCAAAGCACATGCACTTTTCATCAAAATAACGTGTTAAAAATAAAAAAAATCGAGTTTTTGTGAAAACTGTGCAATGTCAAAATTTAATGTAAATTTAACAAATTAAGCGCGGTTTGAGTTGTATGTCCTCTTGTCGAAACGCTCGTGAGGTCATGAAGTGTCTAAATCTCAACTAGAGACACAAGAGCAGCAAGACGTAATGGTGTCCCCAATATGTGCACGTCAACATATTTGCATACTCTAATCAGCCAATCAGCGTGTTAGTGTGGTAAAACACAAATTACTTGAAAAAAAAATGGATGCTTGTCAAGTTTAGCAGTGATAAGCTCAAACGGACAATGGACAATTATCTTCGATGATATCACATTTTATTCAATTAGGTGTATCGTCAATCTTACAATCACAGTCTTCATATGGATTAAATCTTGATCCACTGCTGGACACTGTAAGAAAATAAGTAAAACTTCGCTACCTGTTTCTCATGATCAATTAACAAGTGTCAAAAATGTTTAGGCAATTGTGTTTCAAATTTCTGAGGTTCAGTCATAGTTAAAGCCCATTTTGAATTGACAATTCCGAAATTGCAAATGAGATTGGACCCCCAAAACATGAAAGAAAATACAACAATCAGTGTTATTTAAAAATTGAGCCTATTTAGCTTAATACTGACCGAGTACGAAATGATTGCTTTCAAATTTGCAAAAAAAAAAAAAAAAAATACATGGTTTTTGGGGGACACTGCTCAATGGATTAACCCTCGATACACTGCTGGACACTGTAACAAATTAAAATCAACAAAAAGTGTATCAAAAATCTTCATTAGGGACATTTAACCGGCAAGATGATAGCGATCTCCGGTGTACTCACCAATAGATCTTGTTGTTGGAGGGTTAGTGAAACCAATAGGCAATGTCACGGTTTTTACATTAACACCCTTCAAGCTTGGTCCATCTTTATTTTTTGCAGTGACATCAAAACTGTACGTCTTGCCTGGAAGAAGTTCTTTAACAGTGTATGTGAGTGGTTCACCTGAAAGTGTACCAACCTGCAGCCATTTTTTAGCTCCGGCAAGTTTCTTGTAGATTGTGTAGTATTCTATTTCACCTCCATTCTCTTCTGGTTTTGACCACATCAGTGTCACTGTTGTATTAGTGAATTTAACTATTTTTAAAACTGGTGAACCTGGTGGTCCTAAATTAAGACGAACAACAATAAACAAATATAAATGAAAAAAGAAAAAAATAACAACAACATTTGTAAACAAATGCACTAGCTTCTGCATATATATGATATATCAGATTAATCAGGTCAAGTTTCTTGTAGATTGTGTAGCATTCTATTTCACTTCCATTCTCTTCTGGTTTTGACCACCTCAATGTCATTGCTGTAGGACTGGAATTAACTATTTTTAAATCAGGTGAATCACAACAGATGAACAACAATAAACAAATATAAAATTTTATTCAAGTAATAAAAACAACAAAATTTATCATTATCAAAGCTATATCTAAAGAACTGATGCAGTAAATTCGTTTTTTAAAAAAACGAAAAAAAAAACGAAAGAAAAGTGTAATTTTGCAATAGAATAAATCTTGTGGGAAAAAATAACTTAAACATTTCATTGAGACTCGCATCGCAAGTTCAAACATTCAAAAAAGGGTTAATTTAAAAGATTATTAAATAATAGCTTCGTCTGTTCCTTGTGCTAAAAGCGGTTATTACTTTAACACCTACGTCCATAAGTATTTCTTTTAAATTGCGTTTACTCAGTCTCAACAGAACAATTTTTAAGATTGCATTCATATTATTCCAAATGAGAGTGATCTATCTTTCTTTTTATTTTATTTTATTTTTATTTATTTTTTATTTTTTTATTTTTTTGTCCACTAAAAGGGGCTTTTGAGAAAGACAACATGTGTACATTTTGATCTGAAGTACAATCAAGAGCTAAACAAGGATCGCTAGCTTAATCAATATTATTAATGTACCTGTAACAATCAGTTTAACATGACTTGTTGGCATCAACCTGTCAGGTCCCTTGGCTAAAAAAAGTATACACCCATATGTACCAGAATCAGCCAGAGTTAAATTTTTGATGACCAAAGTAGCTTTTCCCTCCACACTCACTCGTACTGTAGGTCTTAGAAATCGAGCTGGACAAGTGTTTGTATCAATAGTAAATTTACGTCCATTAAAAGCGTCACCATATCCTATCCAGTAAGTGGTTGAGTTTGCGTAAAAATACCATCTTGGTGACCCGGAATCTAACTCTTTCTTGATGTTATCAACATGGAAGTCCCACGTAAACCGAGCAGTTTTTCCATTTGCTAAGTACAATGTCTCATTAGGAACCTTTGTAAAATTAGCCACGGCATCTAAATCGAATTGTAGTGAAGAAAAAAGGAGTTTTGCTCTTAGACAAGTTCACATTGTGCCTTAAACTAATTATAAAACAAATGAAAATGAAACAAAACAAAAATACAATCAAAATTAAAATATATATGTATATATATTAACAAAAACAAACTAAAATAAATGAGATGTGTTCTTAGTAAATGTTTAGTTAAACAAATAATAATTTCTCTTACAATATAGAAAGAAAAATGTGCGTAAAGAAGAGAATTGGAAATAGAAGACAAAGGATTGCAGGCAGAATCAAAACGCAGTTCGAACAGTTTACACGGAAATGAAAGACGTTAGTCATTTCATGCATACGATGATCGAAATAGACGACCTTCAACGTTTTGTAAATAGAATGGAAACTCCCAGATTTGAGGTCCGATTTCTATGATACTACGTGTATAATGAATGTATCACTAGAGATGACTTACCTGAGGATTGTACATGGATGAGCAGATTAAGACAAGAAACCAAAGCGACACACAATCTAAGATCCATCCTTAATGATTTATTTTTAATTAACACTTCAATTACTAATCTCTCTTCGCAAATTCAAGGTCCACGGTTTGTATCAGTCCAAAATCAAAAATAGAAATAAAGAGGGTTACCTTTCAGGCATAAGGAATAATGATTGGCTCGCTTGCCTTAATTTTGTGGTTTTTGATTTCCTGCTCTATAGTGGATCCGAACTGAGATATTAAGGCTATGGGAAGAGAGAGGTATTTTTATTTGCTCGTGGTGCCCACAAATACAATATCGTGAACTTCATTATTGACTGAAAAGTGTACATTTTTTCATAGTTGCCATGAATAAAAAGGCAGGAACAATAACAATAATGTTTCACTGCGGTCAGTGGTGCTTGGCATGAATATGATACATTTCGCTGAAACTGTATTTGACGCTGGCAAGGAAACAACAAAAAAATAATAATAATAATGAAACACAAAGACAAGGCAGTGATAGCACATGCGAAAATGTTATAGAAGTCTTCTTGCGAAATTATTACACAAATGGGTTAAAGAATTATAACCGTAATGATGGAGTTCTTAAAAAATATGTAATAAAGGTATAGGAGCACTTCGCGTTTCTACCGGTGTGGTCCTTCACACTTCATTCTAATTTCTTAATGTAATTATGATAATAAGATTAACTCTTAACATTCCTTTTGTCCTTCAAATTGAGTTAATTTTCCGTTATTTGACAGCAGATTCTCCACTCGCGGGACAGAATCTTGTTATAATAACAGTCCTTTAAAAAAAATCGACAAGAACTGGGCATTATTATGTAGATTTGCATGTCAGCAGAAAAATTTCAAATTATATCATTATTATGTAAAATAGTTGAATATTGGTTTTGGTGGCGGATTTTATGGTTAGGGGATTTATCCCATTAGCCTTAGTGCATATGCAGAGAGAATAACAAATACACTTTCAGGTAATCCATAAATTTACTTGCAGTTGTAACAAACTTGTTTCTTTAATATAACATCATTACTGAATTACAAGCCCTCCAAAGCCTTAACGGTTATCGCATCTCTTTAATATCGAATATATTAACCTGCGTTCACCCGGTTTATTCTATATATTACGAGTAAAGGCTGGATGAATCTCAGGCTAAGAATATATTGAAAGTTTTTTCATTTGACTTGTTTATCTTTTCTAAAATGTCAGTGAAATTTCCGATTCAATGCTTAAAGCTAAGTTTAGACTCCCCACATCAATGTCAAAAGACTTTCTCAGGAATAGCAACTCTTTTTTAGAAAACACCGACTATAGGGCATCGAGATGTGATGATGTGGGTGTTGATAGTCTTGATATGCTCGTTGATACATAATTTTGAAATAAGGAACTCTAATGGTATTTAGTAAATAAATCCCTTCTGGCGGCTGGGATATCGGCTGATAATGTCCGAGGATGAGAAATGGTCCGAGAAATGAACATTTGGACGAGAAGCGAAGCTTGGAGGGCCAATGTGATATTTTGAGGAATATTTCTCTTCCGATTTTGTTTGTTCTCTTCCGATTATGTTGTGTTGAGGAAGAAAAGCCATTCAAGTGCAAAGTAAAATCTACACACGATGCGATTGGTTCACAGTGATTTTTCGTCATTTCATTGGTTAATCATTTGACAAGTGTTGACAAGGCAGCAAAAGTCTCTACTGAAGTAAAAACTACAAATTTATTGCTGCGTTTAGCGGAAATTACAAGTCTTTTTAGACAGAAAACCTCGAAAATGATCACCTTTAGTTCTTTTGCTTTGAGCTGAAGTAAAAATGATGGCCATTAGACATAGAATTTGCGAAATTAATTAATTGGGTGAAACATACGGTACGCACAATAGCAGCTAAAATTATAATAGTGGAATAGACTTTAACTATTTAAAAGTACAATGAAACAATTACAATGTTCCTCAACTGTATTAATTGCATCACACAGTGTTTACGTTAAAGTACGTTTGCAAGCTCTGGTAAACACTTGTGTGATTACGTAAGGCTTGGTAAGTGTGATGATCATTACGTTCACCAGTTGCGATGTCAAGTACTGGTTCATCATATGTTGGTGCGGCATCTGCACGGCTTTGCATGGTGTGAGGGTTAAGTTGCTGGTAATGCTCTTGATTTGGATCCCTGGTCCCAGCACTTGATTGTTTCACTGTTGGAGGCAAAGTTGTCATTCCCAGGGCATTCACATTCTGTAAGCAATATTTGATAAAGTTTGAATCATTATTAATATCCCTTTAGCATGAAACGGTCACATGGTACTATATTCATAGACTGGCTTATATCTATTTCTCATCTTACTCTGATAAACTATACTATAATAGGTAATAATTTTACAATGACATGTTCTTAAAAAAGCATGCTAGAAAAGAGGATGCTCACATAGTAAATTGCCTCTTGTTTGCTAAAAAAAGAGAGAAAGAAAAAATGAGAAAGAACACTGGCATGTTAGTCGCCAACATGTAATATTGATTTAGTTTAATTAATTGAAGAATTGAATACACTTGAATCAGGGGCAGATCCAGCCGGCGGGTACAGGGGTTGCGAACCCCCCCCTCCCTCCCCTCCCCCCCTGAGATCTGTATCCTTCAATACCTTCCTTATTTGTATCTTCATGGTAATAATTTTTTTTTTCGGTGCACCCTCTACTGATTGCCCCGAATCCCTCCCTGAGGAAAATCCTGGATCCGCCTCTGCTGAATGTTCAGAGATTTCACTAAAGAAAACGAATTTTGTGAAACCGTATATTTTTAAAAAAATCTCGGTGGATTTTTGGTACTTACTTGTTATTTTTCCGTTTATTGGTCTTACATTTCCATGAGATGAAAACTACCAGCAGGATGTTGAGCACAAATGCAAGTGCTAAGAATGCAGCCAATGTGGTAACTTTAGTAGAGCCTAAAGGGTTCATACAAAAGAAGAGAGTACATCCAAAAGAAAAATATGAATGAATCACTTGCTGCTGACCAAAAGAAACTGAAGAAATTTGTAATTTTCTTTCTATTGGTTAAAAGCAAGTCAATCGACCCACAACTAAGGTCATACTTTGATATATGTTTAAAGATAAATCTTACAATCACAGTCTTTGCATGGGCCAAGCCTTGAACCACTACTTGATGCTACAACAAAATGAAAGTGATTATGAGTAGAGTTTGAGTAGAGTTTGAGTAGACAATTATACTTTTAGTGAGGGGTCATTGCTATCATTGTCCAATGACAAACGGAAAAATATATAAATACTTTATTTATGCCAGGGGGTTGAATTCAAGACACTCAAGAGAGCTTGGTGACTTTTAATGACAATTAGATTTGTTTTTGTTGACTTACTAATAGCACTTGTTGTGGGGTGAGGTGTAGTTGTTTTAGCAGGCAGTGTCACGTTTATCACATTAACACCCATCAAGCTGCTTCCATCTTTATTTATCGCAGTGACATGAAAACTGTACGTCTTGCCTGGAAGGAGGTCTATAACCGTAAAAATGAGTGGTTCAACATAAAGTGCTCCAACCTGCAACCATTTCTCATCACCAACAGGTTTCTTGTAGATTTTGTAGTATTCTATTATAAATCCATTCTCTTCTGGTTTTGACCAACTCAGTGTAGTTGTTGTCGGACTTACTTTAATTATTTTCAAAACAGGTGAAGCTGGTGGTCCTAAAGAAAGAATAAACAACAGAAAGTGATCGTATTTGTAGCTAAAGCAGAGTTTCAAATCAAGTTCGAAAAGCAAAAGATATAATGAGATGAAATCATATGTTTTGTGCTGCAGTCCAAATTTTCCCAGCTACCTCCTAAAAACGATGCTCACTGCTAGCATTGACACACTCAAATTTCTAAATTTATATTGTCGAAACTTGAATTAGTGTAGTAAGTATATTAATTGTAACAAAAGCATATTTTTTCCTGGAAAAAGTATAAAATATCTTATGTTGTACCTGCTTTTCTAGTAGTAAAAGTCTTTTTAGAGGCTTTCCCATAACCTGCAACATTGCTGGCGTATATTTTGACAACGTACAAATTGTCTCTGGTAAGGTCAGGGATACTGAAATGATTAGGTTTCCAGGAAGGGATGGTATAGATCTTAAAGTCAATTTCCACTTTGTATTCAGTCACCTTACTACCACCATTGTCAACTGGTTCTGCCCACCGTACAACAGCAGAAGATGCTTCTATATTTGTAACATTAAAGCTTGGAGACCCCGGTGGAACTTTAAAAAACCAAACCGTTTAATTGTATAAATTAATGATGATGTATAATTGTATATCGGCAGAAGTACATAACCAGAAGTGTCCATCTCCGCATTGGTATCGCCACCATCAGATRTCCCGRTAATCTATTTTTAGACAACMAATCACAACGCGCGCACWTATTACACGGCACCTGATTGGTCCTTGTTGATCTACTTCAAGAGCAGACAAGAAAAAGAAAAATGTACTCGATGGAGGCGAACGAAGTGAAGTCAAAGGTTAAGTAGTTTTCGACTGTAAACCTTAGAGATTCGACCCTATAAATTTTCAGGTAGCTAGGAGGGTTTGTTTGGAAATTAATAGATATCTAATTTCTTTGACGACTTTTCTTGTTTGTGGCTTTTCATAACTTCATCTTCATCATAAACCGAAAATTCGACACGATTTCGTTCTTTTTTATCTTTTGACCTATTC